GCAATCGAAAACAGTCCAGTGGAGCCTGAGCGGTGGGTGTTGCCTCCTGACACACGTCCGGTGATGTCAGGGGGTGTGGCATATGCAAATAAGTTATGCTAATGAGCCCCTGCACCTCTTTTTCTACGAAATGACCCCTGGGCATCATGCCATGGAGTCCTCCCTCCAAAGCAGCCATTTTCTCCAGGGGGACTGATCTTGGTCGCCTGGCGATCAATTGTAATAGAGGGAGATCTCCAGGTGCCACCTGGAGGTTGGCACCCCTGCTCTCAGCACTGCACCCATTAGCTTTTTCGGCCACAAGAGTGGGGAGTGACACTCACAGGAGGGCGTCAGGCAGGCCCGTAGCTACTGACTTCCCATACAGCCCCCAAGCTCTCTGGGCCGCCCGGAGGAATCTCAACTCTCTGGGCCACCTGGAGGACTCCCTTCTCCAAGCGTGGCTTGCGTCCCCGCGTAGGCCAGCAGAGTGTGAACGCTGCAAAAGTGAGGGTTTTTTAAATTTAATTTTAATTTTATTTTTTTATTTTGTGATGTCAGTACCCCCCTGACTTATCTAAAGGCCCCCTGAATCACAAAATCTTGGCTGTGAGCCTGGCATTAGGGGTCTCTCTCTCTCTCTCCCTCCCTCCCCCTGCCGGGCACGAACACTGGGGTGAAACCACCATGTCCTGGGACGGGGTAAGAGATAGATAAGGCATCTACTCCTTGAGTTGCTGCTAAAGCAAAGGAAAGGTTGGGTATGGGGGGGGATAGGAACACTCTTGGGAGGAATCAGACGCTAACAGGCTCTTCCCCTTGGCTTCGTACCTGGGTCTGGATGCGATTAAGGCCCCGGAACCAAAGGATCTGGCCACGGCGCAGCTCCCGCTCGGCGTGGTCAATTTCCTCCTCATCCTCCGCCATCTCTTCGTCGGTGATCTCGTCCTTGCCGGGACCGTGGCCCGCCTCCTTCAAGCACTTGAGATGGCTGGTAGGGATGCTGGCAATGACCTGTAGGAGACAGCAGATTTTTGTTCCGCATCCCCAGAATTTCCCCTCGTAGAATCAGAGTCCGGAGCAGAGGCTGGGAGTAGTATTGCTCTTGCACTGGACCCCAGAGCGAGACTGTTGAACCTTCTAACGCAGGAGGGGAAGAGACAGCCATGGCGTGCAGTAACTGTTCCCTCGCAGGCCCCGTAGCCAGGAATTTTTCCGTTGGGGGGCATTTAAAGTCCTTAGGGTGGCTAACTAAGTCTAAGTTAATTTAATTAACGTAGAACCTCCACAAAACTCTGAAACCTAGCGCTAGGGTTCCATCACAGGCTTTTCATGCAAAGATGGACTGTTTTGGATGCGATCACAACTAAGCAGTGCCCGAATGGAGTTTGGTGCTGTGGGGATGGCCCCAGAGGAAAATGTCCTGTCGGGTCTTATGCCCAAGGACTATCAGTGTCACCACAGTTTCAGGACCCCAAAGTGGACTAGGGATGCCAGCCTCCAGGTGGGGCCTGGGGATCCCCTGGAATCACAGCTCATCTCCAGGCGACAGAGATCAGTTTCCCCTGGAGGAAACGGCTGCTTTGGAGGGAGGACTCTGTGGCCTTGTGCCCCACTGAGGTTCCTGTCCTCCTCAGGCTCCAGCCCCAAATCTCTAGGAATTGCCCAGCCTGGATCCGGCAACCCTATGGCCCTTTATCCCCCGCCAGTGGCCAGAGTGGACCTGGTAACCCTATGAAATCTGGAACTGGGCGCAGAATTTAGAATCCCGAGGAGCTAACAGCATTACAGGTGGATACATCACGGAACTCAGTCCCAACCACTGTTCCCTCTAAGCTGAGTGAGTGTGAGCTAGCTCACAGTTTTTTAGCCTCCGGCTCACCCATTTTCGTCTCAGCTCAGGAAGGAGGGGCTCCAGAGCAAACTAACTTATGCAGTAGCTAGCTGGTAACCCTATGAAATCTGGAACTGGGTGCAGAATTTAGAAACCCGAGGAACTAACAGCAATACAGGTGAATACATCATGTAACTCAGTCCCACCGCTATTTTTTTTAAACTATACAGTTGCTTTGGGAGTGGGGAACATCTCATCAAATCCCCTTATGTGGCTTCTTCCTCACAAGGTTCCAAATATTTAAACTCCTCATGCCCTAAGTGGCTTTTAACTGTCAGAAACGGCACCAGGGTTCAGATACATAGGAAACAATAATTTGTTGGCTTAATCTAGATTTCCACCTGAGGACAGCCATCGCTCCCGCCTCTACCTTGCCTCCCTCCACATCATGCCCACCTTGGCCCAGGAACTGGAGCGGGCAATTCCTCCTTGTGCCCGTCCCCCAGCTGCCTTCAGAACAGTGCAGTGCAATTTTTTTTGCGAGATTCCTTCCTCTTGCGAGAATTCGGCCACTTTTTCTTTTGGTCTGTTGTCAAATCGAACAGAATGGTGGCTGACTTCTCCTGAGAGGAAGGAATGTACCGAAAGTTCTGGAAGGCCTACAGAGTGTGTGCATCCCGCGGCACTCTCTTGAAAGAGGCTTTGTAGAGCCAGGAAGTAAGGAGGTAGCTTCTCCAGCTCCCCAGCAGAGGAGGGAAATGATAAGTAAGGGGGGGGAGAAGAGTAGTTGTGGACAAGATGGGCAGGTGGGCAGGAGGCTGGTGACAGGTGAATGCAACTTTGCTATCCCTCCCCCCACCAAATCCATGATCTCACTGCCTTGGTCTTACAATGGCCATGACAATTTATTTATTTATTTATTGGATATATACCCCACCCTCCCCATCGAAGCAGGCTCAGGGCAGCTTACATAAAAGTGTTCAAACAGTTTAAAACATATAAAATCTAAAGTGCAATACATATATATTTCCTATGCGACAGCAGTCATAATCCCATATTTTCTTAACAGGAGTCAGTTAGTACAGACTTAGATGATACAAGCAATCTCAGGGAGGCTTCAGGTCATCCAGATGTTGTGTGGTCAAGTGCTTGGTGGAAGAGCTCCGTCTTGCAGGCCCTGTGGAATTGAAGTAAACTCCGCAGGGCCCTGGTTTCCTCAGGGAGCTCGTTCCACCAGCGCAGCAGTGCCACAGAAAAGGCTCTAGCCCTGGTAGTGGCCAGTCTGGCCTCTTTAGGGCCAGGGAGCACTAGAAGGTTTTGTGCCCCAGAACGCAGTGCTCTCTGGGGAACATGTGGGGAAAGGCGGTCCCTCAGGTACGCTGGCCCCTGACCATATAGGGCTTTATAGGTAAGCACCAGCACCTTGAAGCAAATTCGGTAAAGGAAATTTCTAGCCCTTAAGACTGAGGTGATTGGTCGGAGAGTGCAGGCGATGCCAAGCAGAAATTCCAGAAGCAGAGGAAGAAGAAGGAGAAGAGATTGGATTTATACCCTTGAAGTCCCAGAGCGGCTTACAATCTCCTTTCCCTTCCTCTCCCCACAACAGACACCCTGTGAGGTAGGTGGGGCTGAGAGAGTTCTGAGAGAACTTGTGACTGACCCAAGGCCACCCAGCAGGCTTCATGTGGAGGAAGAGTAGAGAATCAAACCGAGTTCTCCAGATTAGAATCTGCCACTCTTAACCACTACACCAAACTGGCTCTCACGAGGGGCTGAGGAGGACCTCAGTGGGAAAAGGGGTGGGGGATTCAGGTGCTTTGAAGAGTGTCACAATTCCACAGCACCTGGTACCAAATAGGGATGCCAGCCTCCAGGCAAGGCTGGTCTGGGTCCTGCTAGGTAGGTTTGCCATCTCCAGATCAGGATATTTGGGGAGGGAGGAGTTGAAGTCTGGGGAGAGTGGGGTTTGGGGACGGCAGGGACTTCAGTAGGGTATAATGCCATTCAGTCAGTCCACCTTCCAAAGCAGCCATTTTCTCCAGGGGAATTGATCTCTGTCGTCTGGAGATCCATTGTAATCCCGGGAGACCTTCAGCCACCTCCTAGAGGTTCATGGAAGGGAATAAGTAATACAAAAGATATAAAAGATCAAACGTGCCACCAGTGGGAAAAGGGGTGGGGGATTCAGGTGCTTTGAAGAGTGTCACAATTCCACAGCACCTGGTACCAAATAGGGATGCCAGCCTCCAGGCAAGGCTGGTCTGGGTCCTGCTAGGTAGGTTTGCCATCTCCAGATCAGGATATTTGGGGAGGGAGGAGTTGAAGTCTGGGGAGAGTGGGGTTTGGGGACGGCAGGGACTTCAGTAGGGTATAATGCCATTCAGTCAGTCCACCTTCCAAAGCAGCCATTTTCTCCAGGGGAATTGATCTCTGTCGTCTGGAGATCCATTGTAATCCCGGGAGACCTTCAGCCACCTCCTAGAGGTTCATGGAAGGGAATAAGTAATACAAAAGATATAAAAGATCAAACGTGCCATCGAGTCCCCCAGAGAGCACTGAGGTCAGGGTTGCAAAATCGCCTGACTCTCCCTGCTCCGAAAGATGCCAGATTGGCCATCACCAGAGCGAGGGCCTTCTTAGTGGCGGCCCCACACTGGTGGGATGAGCTCCCGGAAGACATCAGGGCCCTGCAGGACCTTTTACAGTTTCGCTGAGGCCTGCAAGACAGAGATCTTCCACCAGGCCTTCGATTAGGAGCCGCCACTAACGAATGAGCTACCTGAAACGGAACATGTCACGGCACTCATGTTACAACTTTGGATATTGGCCTTCCTATATCGAACCATCTTATAGTAATCACCATCTGCACTTACTAGCAACTTTATGTATAGTGTTGTTTATGTAAATTTTTATTGTATTTTATCGTTTTATTGTATTTTAACTTGTTGTACGCTGCCTTGAGCCAGCTCGCCCTGGCAAGATGGGATATAAATCGGAAGTAATAAATGAACAAACTGTGCATAAGTAATGAAAAATATATTCAACAAGTGGTCATACACACTTGTATGTATTGCCCGCTTGAAACAGAGCCAACAAGATGAAGCTGCCTGGGTGCTGGTAGGCAGTCACTCCCCCGTTGAAAAATGTGGCCCTAGTTAGGCAATTAGAATTGCATGTAAACCGCTCAGAGACCCTTTGGGGTTCCAGCCATATACAAACTGAAATAAATAAATAAATAATGTTGGAGTGACCCGATTGAAAAACCCTGAGGATCCATGCTTTGGAAAAAAATCCAGTTGGAAAGTGCACTGAAAGGGGATTGAAAATAGATTATTTAGCATGTGTGACCGCAGCCAATGGGTATAATAATCCAAACTCACTCAAATAGAGGAGTTTTTCAAAAATACAATCAGAAACTCAAAAGCACACGGTCATAAAATAAGTATTAGTTATCTGTTTATTAAATTATGTATTAGTTGTCTAGGAGTTCGAGGAGACAATAGCAACTGTTTAGCAAGCAATCACTGGCAGTGAATGAGAAAACAATTTTATTTATATTAAGTAAACACTGGCAGTGCCATAGAGTATAATTGGAAGGAATAGTTTGTATACCCTTCCAAAATTGTATGATATTTCTGTTGTAAACATGTTATGTGGGAAATAATAAAATATAATAATTTTTAAAAAGGTACACGGTCCAAATACAAAAACAGTCCTATTAATACACCTTCAGAAACAGTCTGGGTCAAATTCCTCAAAAGTGAAGAGTCCAAATATCGACGTTTATAATTCCTACTTCACCAAATCCTTGTCTCGCTACTTCTGTATTCACACTATATTTATATGTGTTGGATATTTTTTTTTGTTATTTATGCACGGTTCGATCTTTTGTATCTTTTGTATCACTGACCTCCTGGAAGCTGGCAAACCCTGCTTGAGTGTTAAGCCACAACCAGCCACCACCAGTGACCGAGGTAACAAGTGAAAAGTGACGCTAAAGCAAAAGCCTTTGTCTCAAGGGGGTCATGCGTGTTATATAACTGTACCAGATGGGAACGTCACCAAATTCACCAAGCTCCTGCTCTTCACACGTAACAGAGTACACAGGTTGGGTCCAGGGTCCCCAACTCATGTCCTGTGTAACTGTCACGTGCCCTGCAGGTTCTCAGTTCCTGCTAAAGTTGCCATCTCCAGACTGAGTGGGGGGTGGAGGTGGCGCCCGAGGAGAGCAGGGTGTGCGGAGATACAATGCTTCAGTGGGGTACAGTGCCATACGGGCCATTCTCCCAAGTGGCCATTTTCTCCGGGGGAAGTGATCTCTGTCGCTGGGAGACCAGTTGCTATTGTTGGATATTGTAACGCTGCAGGCCAGAAGATCTGGGATGCAAAGGGTTAAGAGAATTCTCTCACTGGGGCACACTTGGCAGTCAGCTCCTCCTCTCGCCAGTTAGACGCTCAGTTAGACGCTGAGCCTCTTTGGCCTTCGCTAGCCTTCTTTTTCACCTTATATGGGATATTCTGCCTCTTCCCTGGGCTTGGAGCTGTAGCAAGTTAACTTTATTTTGAAGTTAACCTGTTCACAACAAGTGAAATGTCCCTACATGAATACGCCATGTAAGATGTGCTTCTATTTGTGTAAGTAAAATTTCTTTCTCTTGTTACCGTTGGAGTCAGATCGTCTTTGTAATTTGTTTGAAAAGCATTTTTCTGTTAACCAGGAAAGGTAGAGGATTGGGGGTACTGTGTAAAGCTTCTGTGCTTCCAAGGCAAATTATCTCTCCTTATATATAATTGTATTTTGGTCGTGAACTCTCCAGAACGGTCAAAATGCTCCCAAATCAGTTGGCTCCCTGATGTGTCACTCAGAAGGACTCCCCATCCACTGGCTGCGTTGCCTGAGTCCCGCCCACAGAAGCGGCGCTGGCCACAAATTCCCTCAGAAGACAGTTCCTTCCCCTCCCCGAAGGGCCTCGCGTTTGCTACCATGCAGCGGCAGTGGTGGTGGTCTGGTTTCCCCACACCTGGCCCTGGCGGGGTCTCCCCAAGGCGGCAGGCGGAAGGCGACCCCGCTTGCTCTGGGGAGACAAACACTTCGAGGGCGCAGCCTGGCCTGGCCTGAGCAGGCCTCGGCAGACCGGCAGAAGCCCGACAGCTGGCAACGTGCGCCCGCAGAGCTCCAGACGGAGAGAAAGAGGCGGTGGCACTCTCATGGATGGAGGAGCACCGGATTACGTGCCAGGTGATGCTGCTCGCCTGTTTGCCGTGGCTCGCTTGGGGAAGGCAGAGCCTGGGTGCAGGTGGTGGCAGCTCTGCAGGCCTGCTGCGGGCAGTGGGATCCTGTGCGATGTCCCCAGGTGCCTCCTGCCTCACCCAGGGGTAAGCGAGCCCAGCTCACTGCGGCGGGCTCCGCCATCGTCCTCCCCATCTCCCTGCAACCCAGGCTAGCTGCATCCCTTGCCCCACAGCAGGAGGGAGGGAGGAGGGAACTAGCCGGCGGGTGGCCTCCCCGGATGGACAGCCGCCCATGGCCCAGTCTAGAGCTCGTTGTATTGTTTTTACAACGAGCTTGGCTGCTAGTATATATACTAGTATATATATATACTAGTATATATACTCCCCTCTTCAACCTACCCCCCACACCCCTTCGTCCTTCCCCCCTCTACCAGCATGATGCTACCTGTTTGTGTATCCTTCCCTTGTCTCCTTGCAACCCTTCCCACCACCTACAGTCCTTTCCGTACTGGGACCAGACTGAGTGGGCAGTGGCAGATTGCGTGGTGGAACGCTAGCGAATGAATGAGTAGCGGGTGCCAGGCCCTGGAAAACGGGCAGCCGCCCCACCTCAGGACACGCTGATGACCCCCCCCCGCCTATGTCAGACATCTTGCTTTTTTTTTTCCGGGGAGGGCGGGGTATAAATCTTAATACATAAATAAATATTGTTTTACTTTACTTTCTGAGGACATCTTGCTTATTTTATGGAACTCATCCTGCTCCTCTTAGGACCAGGAAGAGGGAAAGGATATGTGTGGGCCACTGAAACATCACCTCTGACTACTGTAAATCTTATTCAGCCCCTCCTCTGGCTTCTGAGGTCAGATTTCCTGCTCAAGGCTACCTTCCCAGCCGTAAGGGCTAGAAACTTACTTTGTTGTGGTTTTCTTAAAATAAGGAAGCTAAGACTCTCCGGAACGGGATTCTGTACTCAAATGTTCTGCACAGACTGAATGTGGCCCTGGATATCGCCTGCTTCATTTGGGCTGCCAACCTCCAGGTGGTCGTGGGAGATCTCTGTGCTGTTACAGTTGATCTCTAAGTGGCCGAGATCAGATCCCAATTTGGAAGGTGGACTCTACGGCATCATACCCCATTTCTTTATTTATTACATAATATTTATTAATCGCCTAAAGCCCAAGACTGTGGGGCTCTAGGCGCTATACAAATTTGAGAACCAAACAACAACAACACCTGTATCCAGCAAGACCCTCCCCTCCCCAAGCCCCGCCCTCCTCAGGCTCCACCCACGGACTTGGTTGAGAAATATCCATATTCATGACCCTACTCATATTCATGACCCTATTCATATTTCAGAGGGCCCAGGATTGGTATTGGAAAATAAATTCCTCGGAGGAATTCTGGGGAGCTTGGTCCCCAATTAAGCCCCATGTCGGAGCAGAGGGAAAAGTCAGAAGGAGGGTTTTCTTACCTGTCCCCAGACGAGTTCCCCGACGCCCACAAAGAGACACCAGAGCCATTGTTCTGCATTCAGTGGGGAACAGCTGAATGGCTTCCCCCCAAACTGCACAATGACAATCTGGGTAGAAAGGAAAATAGAGCTGGTGAGAAAAACTAGCAAAGGGGAGGGGGACAAACTTCAATAACAGAGTTAAGAACATAAGAATGGCAGAAGTGGCCTGCTGGATCAGACCAGTCAGGGCCGGCTCACCCTTCAGGAAGGGGTAGTGGTGGAACCAGGAGCCGGCCCAGAGCAAGAGGCTGGCATACCGACATGGTGGGAAATAATAAAGGGCATGCAGTAAGTACAAGAAAAGAGAGACAGATCTCTCAGGACAGGAAGAACACCACTCGCGCGCGCCTCAGCGCCCCTCTGGCCCTGTCCCCGTGAAAAGCCCACATGCAGGCGGCGCGCTGCCCAGAAGAAGCCCTGCTTTCTGCCTTCCTGGCGGTCCGCCTCGTGCGCCCCTCAGCACCCTTCTGGCCCTGCCCCCATCAAAAGCCCCGGCGCGTCGCCCAGAAGAAGCCCTGCTTCGCTGGCCTGCCTCACGCCACTCCTCAGCTGAAGAAGCTGCGGCGGCTGGCAAGCGAGCAGAGGTGGGAATTGGCCAGATCCAACATTGGCTTCTCATGTGTCCTTATGTCTGGGGCAAGAGGTGCTCTGTGTTCTTGGTGCTTGGGGGGGGGAGATCAACAGTGGAAGGGCTTCTAGTGTCCTGGCCCCACTGGTGGACCTCCTGAGGGCACCTGGTATTTCTGGCCACTGTGTGATACAGAGTGTTGAACTGGATGGGCCATTGGCCTGATCCAACATTGGCTTCTCTCCTGTTCTTACGCTTTTAAGAACCACAGCTGCGCCAGCAGCTCTTCTCTGCAAGGGCCAATGGAAGTGGGACTGGAGGAATCACAGCTCGCCCAAGTGGTCCCTCATCTCTTCCCCACAACCGAAACAAATCTCCATCATCTGCAGCTGTATTTGCTCACATCCGTCCCTCTCCCCCTTAACTCTCCCAATGTTCCATCTCACTGTTGTCTCCGTCACTGTCCAGATTTAGGGCTCAGACAGAGGAGATGAAGACCGTCCACTTACACCAAGGGTCCCCAAACTTTTTGAGCCTCCAGGCACATTTGGAATTCTGCCACAGCATGGTGGGCACAGGAACAGGAGGCAGATCCAGCCACAAGTTCAGGATTGTCGCGTCTTACCGTTGTTGCAGTGGGGCAGTCCCGGGCCCTCTCTGGGACATTTTCGGTGTGCATGCTTTGCGCACACACTGCAATGACATCACCCGGAGGTGACGTCATCGCTTCGGGCACTTTGGGGGCGGGGCCACGATCATTCAAGGGGAAAACATGGAGTTTTCCTTCGAATGATAGAGCGTCCCCCCCCCCGCAACGTCCCCGGCACGATGACGTCCCCTCTGTGTGACGTCATCACGCCGGGTGCGTTGCTGCGATCCTGGCACTTTGGGGGTGGGGTTACCCCGGCAGCCGGATCCAGGCCAGCAGGTAAGGGGCCCGTCGAGCGGGCAAACCCCCGCCCCTCCGGGGGACTTGGCAACCCTACACAAAATTACGGCCACAGCTTAACTTCACTAACATAGCGCAGATCCTTGTGCTGTGGTGGCAGCTGCTGCCAAAGAAACACTTTCAAAAAATCTGCACAGCCAATCAAATCTCTAATAGCCAATCAGAAGCCTTGCTGGGCAAGAAACTCTTCCTGGCCCCACCCACTTCCTAAAAACACATGGGCACTGTCAGCTAGCTGCCATTTCTGTGTTGTTTACCCTTCCCTATTCCCGCTTGCTTGCAGCTCAGCAGCTTGCCGTAAACATGCCAGGGAGGCCGTGGGACTATCAGTCTGGCCTTGTGCATTAGGGAGGGCTTGGGGGTCCACATTTGGTGTGCATTTTTCAGCTCGCAGGAAACCCCGCAACTCTCCCGCTCATTATGTAATCTCTCGCCGGGAGTCTTCCCCTGCGCACGCTCAAAGTTCATTTGCTTAGCTAATTGCCTTGCCCAGCTATATGTATTGGGATGTTCCCGGCTTCTAGTTATTCCTAACAATAATCCTGTGGACATGGTACCAGTCTTGTACACTAATAAAGCATAACGCTTCTTAGGGAACATGTGTGAAGAGTTACTTGCTGTGGAACCTGACAGGCACCAGGAAAGGTGTTGGCGGGTGTCATGGTGCCCGTGGGCACCACGTTGGGGACCCCTGCCTTAGACTGTATACTTCTTGGGGCACAGGCCTGTCTGTCTGTCTCTGTCTCTCTCTCTTTTTGCGTATAGTTCTGTAAAGTGCTGGATACATGGCAGGGATGAGCACACACACGCGCACACACTAGCGCTTCATTTTACGCAAAAAGGGACCTTTTCACCATTTACCCCAATGCCAGGGGCAGGCATACCTTTGGGACCGCCTCTCCCCATATCAGCCCTGTAGAGCACTGAGATCTACAAATCAGCAACTTTTGGTAGTCCCTGGCCCCAGGGATGTCCGACTTGCCTCGACTAGGGCCAGGGCTTTTTCGGCCCTGGCCCCCACCCGGTGGAATGAGCTCCTGTGTGAGATCAGGGCCCTGCGGGATTTATTACAATTCTGCAGGGCCTGTAAGATGGAGCTCTTCCACCGGGGGCTTTTAGTTGAGGCAGTGGGCGTCCCTCCCCCTCCTTCTGATCGGCCTCCTGCCAGTGTCCTGAACTCGAACAACCATCTGGGAACTATAGCATTGTTTTTAGCTACTGAGTTATTAACTAGATTCTGCACGGTATTTTACGACTGTATGGTTATTTTATTCGTCATTCTTCTTTTAAATTGGTTTTAACTTCTGTTGTATATTGTTTTAACACTGATGGAACCCGCTTGCAGGGCGGGATACAAGTTTAACAAAATAAAAGAAATCAAATCACTTGGTTTCGACACATTCCCCCTTCCACCTCTCCCCGGGTTCCCACACCTGTTTGCTCCGGCCGGTACCTGTATGACAAAGGTGCCCAGCACGATGCTGCAAAAGATGGGGTTGCCGAAAATGCCATCAAAGACGTTGCGCTCGCCGTGGATTTTGCGGGCGTTGATCTCGTTGAAGAGCTGCATCATGACAAAGGTGTTGAAGATGATGGTGTAGTGCTCCGAGGACGGGGAGTGCAGGGGGGCATTGCGGCCACTGTCGATGTCGAAAAAAACCTCGCCTGCAAATGGGGGGAAGATAGTAAAGCGGCACATCATGGGGCAGATACCGGACTCAGCCAACCAGCCAATCAGCCAACTGTCTCTTCCTCTGTCCCTCCCTCCCTTCCCCCTGATTGGCTCAAACCCGCCCTCCAATCCCAGATCAGCACCATAAGAACCCACCCACAAAGAGGAGGGTGAAGATGATGGTGAGCTGGTACACGGCGTGGCCCAAGATATTCTTCATCATGGTGCGGGAGATGAGGGGAGAGGAGGGGCTTGTTGCGTCCGTACGGCTTGCGCAGAAGCAGGGACTCTGTCGGGGGTTCGGTGGCGAGGGCCAGGGAAGCGAAGGTGTCCATGATCAAGTTCACCCACAGCATCTGCACTGCTTTGAGTGGGGAATCCTGGAAGAGAAGTTGAGAGGAAGAGGCATCATTACAGACGTATGTGCCGTCGAGTCCCCCAGAGAGCACTGAGGTCAGGGTCGCAAAATCGCCTGACTCTCCCCGCTCCGAAAGATGCCAGATTGGCCATCATCAAAGTGAGGGCCTTCTCAGTGGCAGCCCCACACGGGTGGGATGAGCTCCCGGAAGACATCAGAGCCCTGCGGGACCTTTTACAGTTCCGCAGGGCCTGCAAGCTCTTCCACCAGGCCTTCGATTAGGAGCCGCCACTGACGAATGAGCTATCGGAAACATGTCACGACCCCCATGTTACAGCTTTGGATATTGGCCTTCCTACATCGAACCATCTTATAGTAATCGCCATCTGCACTTACTAGCAGCTTTATGTATAGTGTTGTTTATGTAAATTTTTATTGTATGTTATTGTTTTATTGTATTGTAACGTTGCACGCTGCCTTGAGCCAGCTCGCCCTGGCAAGGAGGGATATAAATCGAAAGTAATAAATAAATAAATAAATAGACTTTTGGTGAGCCCAGAAAGGGGCTTTCCAAGCACGTGAGAAGCAGAGGTGGTAGTCCAGTGCCTTCCTCTGCACAGCAACACCAGTCTTGCCTTGGTGGTCTCCCATCCAAATATGGTGACCCTAAAAGGGGGCTTTCCAGGCAAGTGAGAAGCAGAGGTGGTAGTCCAGTGCCTTCCTCTGCACAGCCTTTCTTGGTGGTCTCCCTTCCAAGTAACAACCCTGCATAGCTTCCAATTTATGATGATCTCAGCAAGGGGCTTTGAAGGCAAGAGAGAAGCAGAGGTGGTTTGCCATCGCCTTCCTCTGCAGAGTCTTTCTTGGCGGTCTCCCTTCCAAGTAACAACCCTGCATAGCTTCCAATTTATGATGATCTCAGCAAGGGGCTTTCAAGGTAAGTGAGCAGCAGAGGTGGTTTGCCATGGCCTTCCTCTGCAGAGTCTTTCTTGGTGGTCTCCCTTCCAAGTAACAACCCTGCATAGCTTCCAATTTATGATGATCTCAGCAAGGGGCTTTGAA